TAGGGCTGGGAGGACCTGGTGGGCCTGGGTGGACCTGGTAGACCTGGTGGGCCTGGGAGAGTCTGGGTGGGCCTGATTGGTCTGGTAGGGCCTGGGAGGGTCTGGGGAGCCTGGTGGGCCTGGGTGGCTGCATCGTAAGAGATCAGCTAGTTCTTTGAGTAAAAAGGCAACGAGTGTGTATTGTTACAAAGAAAAAAGTACAGATACAGAGGGAAAATACAGCGAGAAGCAAATCCAAAAAGGTCCTAGTATTCTTGGCACCCTTCCAGAAACACCCTGTGGCCGTGCACACGCAGCCTCTCACACTCACAGTACAATGGGCGTGTCCCACGCACGCCCCGGGCCTGCTGCCTCCCACACCTAACTTCATCTTCAAGGTCACCTCAGGGGAGCAACGGCTGGTCCTCGCCAGCTGTGTGGCTCTGGGCTCCAGGCCCCTGCAGGCCACACCCGGGTATCTGGAGGGCCACGCATGACCCAGGGGAGACCTGACCCCGAGGGGGGACGGGCTCGAGGACGTGCTGGTGGCGGAGCCCAGTGTTCCCTGGAGCCACAGGACACCTGCAGAGGCTGACACCCACCCCCTCCCTGAGGTGGGCCACCTCCCCGTGCGCCCGCCCCGGCATGCAGGGCGCACGCTCCAGCACCACGGCTTCTCCTGCCCGACGGGGGGCCGAGCGTGAGGCCTGGTGCAGAGCCCTCTGCCACGGGCGCCCACCCTTGCTTCCGCCCTCAGCCCCAGGTGCCTCTGCTGGACGGGACCACCTGACCCCATCAGCGAGTCCCACAGGCTCAGATGATAGGGAGTCAGGAGCAGGGCCTGCCCAACCCCCCAGCAAGCCGCAGGAGCCCAGGGTGGCGACTGGGCTCAGTCACCCGCGTGTCTCCCAGGCCTCGGGGACCACGTGTCAGACACTTGTGGACCATGGTCCCCACACTGCAGGTCAATGCCAACTGCTCGTGGAGAGTGGCGGGCTGCCAGCAGTGGGGACAAAGGGGTCCCTGTGGGGCTTCCGCGGAGGCAGGTGGCTGCGGATTTCCTCCCTGAAGGGCTCCCCCTTCCCCCGCAGCCCGCTCCTCCTGTCCCCTCTGCCTGACGCCTCTTCAGTCCCCTGCCACTGCCTTCCTGAGTGACTGCTCCACCCTCCCTCCCAGGGGTGTCACTGCTTCTCCCTGACTGGCCTCACGGTGGCTGGGGCGGGAGCTCCGCGGGGTCTGGCTGACACTCCAGGGTCCCTTCCTGTGCTGGCCTGCGTGGCACCACCAGGGGTGAGCGGGCAGTGAAGGCCCAGTCCGTGACGGCGCGGGAGGCAGGCTGCTCCGAGCACCCACCTATGTGCGGGTCCAGAGGCACTTTGCCGAGGAGGGGGACCTTGAGGTCCCGGCACATGGCTTCTGCGCCGCCCGTCGTGGGGGGGAATATCTGAGATTCTTTCTGTGAGGAGAAGCAGAGGGGGAGCAGGGTTCAGCTTCGGTATCGAGCAGAGACACGTTCTGAAAACCGCCGGACATGGAAGAGCTCACTTTGCATGCAGAACGCCAGCCACCAAACAATCGTCCCCTTCGCCAGCGACAGAGGCTCTTAATCCAGAGCCATCTCCCAAAAACGGCAGCAGCAAACCAGCCTCCAGGAGCCACGGCCGCCGCCCGCCCCTCACCTTGCACCTGGGGCAGACGAAGCCGCTCATGTTCTCCACCACCCCGACCACCGGCAGCTTCACCTTGTGGCAGAAGTTGATCTCCTTCCGCACGTCCTGGAGCGACACCTCCTGTCAAGGTCAGACCCACAGGTGTCCGGTCAGCGCGGGGACCCAGGCCTGTGTGGCCCAGGGGGCTGCGACACGGGGGCCTGCCACCACGAAGCCCACGAGACGCGTGTCGCTTACTGGGGACCTCTTGGGTGCCCATATGTGACAAGTCCTGTTCCAGCTGCCCCAACTTTCCAGAAACCCCAAGAGGGTAGACCAAACGCCAGGAAGCAAAGGGAGCGATGGAGCACACGGGGGCGGGGGGGGGGGGGGGGCAACGACGACTTCCCAGGCAGGGGCCAGCGCCCTGGGCCGTCAGGCTGGAAGCCTGCCCCTGCGGGTGGGGCTCTGCGGGACTGGCCACACCCCTCTCCTCTGTGCCCTTTCCTCCATGCACCTCTCCTCCACGGCCCCTCCTCGGCGCCCCTCTCCTCTGTGTCCCACTCCTCCGTGCCCGCCTCCTCCGTGTCCCTCTCCTCCACGGCCCCTGCTCTGTGCCCCCCTCCTCTGCGCCCCTCTCCTCTGCGCCCCCTCCTCGTGCCACCTGGCCACCTTCCCTCCTCCATGGCAATGCCAGCACTGTGGCCCAGCTGGGGCCCGGGGTCTGGGGTAGTGTGCTGGTCCGCACCACCATGGACAACTTCATGGGCAACATGGACAGGCAGACTGTGGCCTCCTGGGTCACCTCAGACACTGCACGGCGGGTGCTCGTCCTGGTGCCACTTCATTGTGCACAAACATCATCCAGCCCCTCCTTGTTTGTCCCATCCATCGTCATTCTAGGGCCACCCAGGAGCTCCCCGCGCCTCCCTGTCTACAGTGGCCGCTCCGTGGCTTCTGTTCCCCAGTTCCCATCTCCTCGTGCCTCTGTGGCTCGGTGTCCTATAGATACACTGTCCCTTTGTCAAGAGTGCCACCTAAACAGCTGTTTCCCACAGCAGTGCTGGATGGGAGGGACTGGGGAAGTGCTGCCCTGGTCTGAACGTGCTGCGGCCCCATGATTTCGGGGAAGGGCTGGCACCTGCTGGCTGCCGCTCTCCTGGGATGATCCGCGCAGTGGGCTCAGCTGCCTCTGTCACTGCTTCTCTGGGTGCTGGGATGGACCCGGGGCTCCCGCGAGCTCAGCCCAGCCGCTGGGCCCCGCAGCCCCAGGAGCTCTGAGCGTGAGCTTCTGCGGGTCCTGCCCGGCGGGACCACGGGAGCACGAGGGGCGCCCTCTGCTCCACCAGCAGCCACTCACCTGAGGAGTGGTGACGATCACAGCCCCGTCGATGTGCGTGGCGGCCAGATACTGGACGACGGACAGGTGCTCATCGGAGGTCCCCGGTGGGGTGTCCACCAAGAGGTAGTCCACGTCTCCCCAGTCCACGTCACGCAGGAACTGCTTGATCATGCCTGCAAAGGAGCCCAAGCTCGGCCTCCCTCCCTTGCCGGCCACAAGGCCCTGCAGAGCAGCTGTGGTCGGCCCGCGAGCTTGGCGTGTGCTCCACGCACGGCTCCCACCTGGGGTGGCACTGTCCCCAGGGGGCACGTGCCTAGGTCTGAAAACATGTCTGGTTGCCATGTCTACACCATGGGTAGAGGCCGGGCTACAGCTAGAACCCTGTCCACCCTGCCCCGAGGAACTCATCTGGCCAGTGCCCGCAGTGCCCGCCGAGGTG